AAAGACTGTTCGTGCGCAGCTGGATTGAAGAAGATGCATTCAAATGGCCTCATGGGCTTTATTACTTGAGAGTTAATCCAAAAAATTGATTTTCATGTTTTTTTTTAGGAAAACGGATATTGCCTCCCAATACAGGCAATTTTAACCGAAGGAAGGTGCAACAATAGAAGCCCTTGATTTCAAAACTAAGTGCAGCATTTGCCTGAACGGTGTCCGTCGAAAAAGCTATTAAAATTAACCTTAAGCACTCCATTTGTTTTTCCGAGACTGCCTTACACTATACGCGGGAACTCGATTGACTCGGTATTCATGGCAAACTACCATGACTCTGGAATCTGTGTTCTGAACTCGGGTCGCGTTTTATGAGTTTATCAAAAAAATACATATGTCCCCCTCCTTACACACTATTGTATGATTTTTTCTGTCGGATGTGGTTATATGGCCCCACCTGCAGTAAACAAATCCCAGTCACCTCTAATACGGGACCGGTGGTAATAGGGGCCTTTTACAGGTGGGGCCGGGGAACGCACAGACGACGAGGTAAAGTAGTTGTATGCAGAAGAAAAGCTATTGGACATGCGCGGTTGTACTCTGAATATTTGAGAAATAGTTGCCCTAATCCCTAACTCTAACCCTTAAACCAACTCCAACGGTATTGTGTCCATAAGGTGGGACTACCAAATCACATCTTACAAATTTTTCGATCACGAATTTTTCAGCCAGGTCATCCTAGAGACTGAAGCGGACGCTTAAAGAAAATCAAGTTGGAAATCTAGTCTGCATTTTATCCTTTTTCAACTGCCATGCTTTCCTTTTTTTCTGTCAAAAAGTAGTTTGTTAAAACGCTCATTTTTGCCTTTTTGAATATGTGACTTCCATTTTTTGACAAAAACTAACAAGGAGGTCAAAGGTCAAGAAGCTACAGCTTGTCGCAAACGGACAGTTCCATTAAATGCAAACATTACTCTCCTAGGATATTACATGGAAGTTAAGCAAACCAGACTGGCTTCAGAGGCCACTTCTCTTTTGCTACGTTGATGCCGACAGACTATGAATTGTATCGGATCAAAGTTCTGTCGATACTTGTTCGTCCGAGAGTGCGAACTCGCAGGTCCTGCTAACCAGAGTTTCAATGAGTCGAGGCCGCTACCAGCTACAAAAGTGGTCTGCTTCGTGACATAGGGAGCCTGTCTTCGTAATAGCTAATCGATTACGAAATGAATAATCAGTGGGTCCCATACCGATTCAGTTACACGATAGTTCGACCGTCGATTCCGACGACGTCCACCGTATGATCCACGGCAGGGTGGAAGCACGGTCGGTGACTTGTGCGTGAATTAGTTTATAGGGGTAGTAGACTCGTACAGCATCTACCGCACTCCCTCCTCGTCCCCCCCACCTGGACCCGGTGTCAAGACAGAGTCAAGAAGACCGGAGATGTGGGAGGGCGCAGGTAGATGGCACGGTCGAGCCCGCACCTTTGCGCTCAACTCCACACCGCCTGGTTCACACAACAAATAACTAGTAACAACAAAAGGGCGGTTTGGACGGCCGGAGCCGCATCTAGGCGTGCCGCCACACCTGGCTCGAATCCCACGGAGTGGGAGTGCCCTAAAGGCCACATTAAGAAGGAGCAATCGCAGCCTGACTCTTAGACCACCAGTCGGCCGCTCCACACAAACACAACACACTGGGCCGACTACGAGGTCCAAGTTATCACGTCAGTTGGCAACCTTCCAAGCCACGACTTGGAATTTACACACATATTTCATATCACACTTGTCTGAATCGTGACAACACCAGTAAATCATTGCCTCAGTTACGCTTTGAATTCCGATCCTACGTTTATGAAATCAGGGGCTTCAATAAAGAGCCCATCTGAGAGCACAGACTTGTATACTACAAATAACTGTAGTTTTCCGCGGCAGCATAGACCAAGCGCAGCCATATCCATTTCTTCACTCTACCTGTAGGTGGAATTTCGATATAAGTCCCCATGACTATGCATATTATGCGTCCTTAGTGTTGAAAAAGATCTTCTTTTTAAAGTTGGCTTTAGTACCGCGAGCGTGCTTAAGAACGCAAGACCTTTAGTCGGTCTGTATGCGAAATGTTGGGAAATTGGGGGCTGACGGTCGAAACAATCATGCAAACATGAATGTATAGATTTAACCGTTTTCGGCCAATAACACGACTGGGACGGCTTCTGAAAAGGTCATAGGTTCTCAGACGCCTTTCGGCGCGCAGAATAGACATTAGCAGTCCGGCCGATCATTCTCGGTCTCGTCGTGCCCATGTTTGTCCTTAAAACGAACACAAAGAGGCGTGAATCTTGAAATGATCAGAAACCACCGACCACCGATGTGCCTTAATTCCCTTTCGTGGCGATCAAAATCCAACGACTCAGACAGTTCAAGGATTCGAGATTCGCTACACACAAGGTTGCCTCGCTCAACCAGCGAGAACTGGAACAGGGGATGTGCGAAGGAGGCGCTTATAGGAAAGTGCGACAGACGAAGTTCGTGAAATTTCTGTAGCCGTTGTCAGGTTCCAGATTTCGGCACATAGCTCGCTGTATGTAATGTCCACCGAGTCGCCGGGACTCGTGCAGTCTAAACCCCTATTCTCTGCTCATGTGGTCACTAGCTGAAACGCCCGACCAGACCACTGCGGGAGCCTACCGACGGTCAGCAGCAAGACTGCCCTTGGACTTAAATAGTACTAATTTATGATAAGTAGAAATTATAATGCCTTTATTCTCCGATTCAGACTACAGGAACATGAAACGCACACAAACGAGAAACACAGTCAGCTAAGGGAATTGTCGTATAATTGACCCAACCGGAACGGCCGGTTTGGGCCTACTAGCCGTCATCAGCCAGTCATACCCAGCGACGTCAGACTTGGAGCACCTGGGACCAGATTCCGCTCTCTTGTGATTATTGGTTCAACGATCCGACCTCATTCTGCCTATAATAGTTGTCGCTGTGCAACTGCCTAAGGGTCTCTAGGTCGAATTCCAAAATACAATTGAACGAGTATGTCTCGTAACTTGATCGGTGAACAGCCTCTACCATAATTAGTCTGTCCAATAGCAACTAATAATGGTCAGGGCTTTGGACTTATAACCAACAGGTCGCGGGACCAAGGCCCACGTGTTCCGCACTTTCGGGGTTGGGTGAGGCTGGCTGGTAACCGTTGATAAGCCCAGAATAGTCGCTACGGCCTCCCATATCTTTGTTGGTAATGTTATTTAACACTTATCGCCATCTTACGAGCAGGTCGAACGTCCTGCGATAACGCAGAGTTCAGCACAGTGAAAAGACACAGTGGGAACAAGTCGGAGGGGTATAGCTACCGAATTTTGGGACGACTGGGGTAAAGCAAAATCAAAAGCGCGTTTGAGTAGGAAGTGAACTTCTGAGGACAACCAAACGTTAGGGCAAGGTAGTCCCGGTTTTGCAGGCGCCAGAAGAAACACGCCAGAAATCGCGGAGGCCAGAAGGACCGGTAACGATCATGTTGTGGGCGTTCTCCGGGTGAGCGCCTTTCGCCAGGATAAAGTCGTGGAGGTGAGAAACCGGATAAACAAAACGCAGGATCGACACCGCGACACGGCATTCAGTCTTAGCATTGGACGGCATGCACTGCGAAGACAAAATTCCAGGACGCGCTCACAGGTGGCAATGGAGACAACTAAAGAACCCGGTCGAGAGCAGGGCATAGGACCTGATGTGCAAATATGGTAAGCCGCCCCATGTGGGGAGGGTGGGCAGATCAGGTGAGGCTGTGTTGGACGGCATGAAGTCTGAGAAAGGAGCACTCATGTTATCAGTGAGGAGGCATGAAAAGAATAGATGCCTTTGACGCACATCTTATCGAACTGTTAAGACGGTCAGTAGCAGACTGGGCAATAGAAAGCTGATAGAATACCAGCCATGTGGCCGCAGACGGTGTGTTGGCACCGTCGTAGGGTCATGCGAAGAATCGACACTGTGGTGTGTCTAAGATGAGGGAGAAACCATTGGAACAGCAATACAGGAAAAGTCCATGACCTACAGGAACAAAGTACAGTTCGGAAGTGGCGGCCAGCAGATGTGAAAGGAATGGCACCCACCGGAATATCGATGTCGATGAGGAAATGTCTGCACCTTCTTCGGTGACGGACAGACTATTCGGGAGATCCGGAGTTGCCAGAGGGATCATCAAGGTTTACGTTCTGCTCAACTCTTCGCCTCGAATTTCCCCGTTTGAAGTTAACACAGTTGAGACGATTTTTTAATGACTGTCGGCGTTTATGATTATATTATTGTCAGACAAACAGTAATACATATCTGCATGAAGGAATAATGAGGGTTTGCGCGTCCATTGACGAATGGGTTTTGGAGCACATGGGCTGTACCCCAAACCTCTCATTAGCAAGCAAAACTCTGGGGCGACAGCGTTGCGCAGAACGTCGTTACTCGGAACGCAGCAGGTACCACTCGCTCCGAACAGGGTCTCAAGGCGACACTCCCTTCCGGCCTCAGAGAAATAGCGCTAGGATTGGAGTGGCAAAACTAGAATTTAAGTGGGCTAGGTAACATTAACAATTGAGCACAGATCCCCTTTGGTTTTCAGTGCTTTCCTCATTTGAATAAAGGTGGTTTTATTAGACTTTCCTCCTTTAGAACATGAATCTAAAACTATGAAGGTATCATAATTACATTTCAGGGACATTAAAAATTTCGGTCCGTCATTGCACCCCGCGTAATTCTTGATGTGCTAGCTCTCAATACATTTAAATGGTGGAAAGCGACTTAATCAGCTTCCTCTGACTAAGATCTATTGTTTCGGATGACCTCAAAGAGCAACTTGGCTAAGGATAGCTGACGTTCCTCTTCACGGAGAAAATATGGCAAAGAAGTTGACCAGCAAAAATGCCCGTACCTGTCTTTTCACGCTCTTTTTAAGTAAAAATAAACAAAAAGCAACAACGAATCTCGAAACGTAAATGTCCTTCAAACAGCCGAGTCATGAGTAATCGGAGCACGCCTGCCCCCTGCGGTGTATGTCACAGCGTTGTCGGCTGCAGTAAGTCCAGTGGAAGTCAAAGGAGCTTGTCTCAGGCTGAGAGAACCCACAGATCCGCCAACATCGCCACTGACAGCTGCAGCCACCATACCGGACTCCCCATATCCGCTTGTTGGAGGCCTCTGCGTTTGTAACTGTTCTCGTAACTTCGCTGAGGCCACTGCTCCCGATGTGCCGGGAAACTCCGTCTTCTGACCCAAAATGGGTATGGAGACTCCAGATTCCCCATGGAAGGCAGAACTTCTGGTACCCAGGGCGCTTGCACCTGGCATCCCTCTAGATGGCCCACCAAGAAGGGAAGATAGACGTCCCGGTGGTGCCCCAAATTGGCCAGCTGAAGGCACCGAACCGGTGAGAAAGAGAGAGGGAACGCCGGTGTGGGACTCCAGTCCCGGCCCCGAACCTGGACCTATCTCGAAGCCAGACCCTGGCCCCAAACCGTAGGCCCCCGAGACGGCGCCGCTGGGTTCGCCAGCGAGTGGAATGAGGCCTCGCTCAGCCAGTAGTTTTTGGTAGATGCGTTCGCTGTAGTCTGCAAGTTGATCCACAATGAGGCAAAATATACTCAGAAGGGTCAGGACGCCCGCGGTGGCAGCGAAGGCGAAGCCCCAGGAGACAGTGTTTCTATCAGAGTAGGGCATCCATTCGCGGTCCTTGGACATGATCCCCACGTACGTGGTGATAACGGTCAAAGAGCCAACTTAACAGGAATAAAAATAACGAGGATTTAAGCACACTCCTTCGTCCTGCTCTTTCTCATACAAGTAGGGAAAAATACTGGAGAAAGCCGAGGTCTCAAGCAGGCCTTTCCTACCTTGGCTCTCGTTCACACTTTAACCGAAGGCGAAAGTAATAACAACTATCTGAATTAGCCCCCGTTTGACAGACTAAATCAAATCGCCCCAACCGGCTAGTCAGCCGAGATAATAATGTATCTTATATGTAATGAAATTATTTTATGCCAGATATTCTGTCAAATTGCTACATCTGCTGCTTACTGAGAGCTTTATCGTTGCCATATACTTTTTCGATGCTTCTCCCATGTAAAATGCCCCACTGCAGTCGGAGACGTGTCGACTGCGCCCTTACCCATTCAACGCCGGAAAACATCAGGCAATTATATACGTGCTTACGTGTCAGAGAGGAGGATTTCAAAACTTTACAAAATATCTCCGAAATTGTCAGCTCACTGCTTCTCTCGACTGCGTATGGGCAGATTAGGGGGAGGGGTTATTTCAAAGTGAGTATATTATTTAATCTTTCTACAACAGAGTTTCAGTAGTTTTCTAGTGGCTACACCATTATAACCTAAAGACAGTCTGAAATATGTGGTTTATACAAGGCTGGGATCCCTGATGCCATGGCGATTGCGTCTATGAGGTTGATCCCTACTGTTCGACTAAAATCAAGACATTCAATCAACTTTTGTGGGATTTTTTGAGCCAGTAGGTATTTGCTGAATTCTTGTACTGTAATGGATGGTCGACTGATCCGAGAAACTGGCTCATGATTATACGAATTGAAGAATGAGAGCCCAAAACTTAGTCAGTGTATCTACTTCGTCCGAAGGAAACATGAAACTTAAGTTAAAATACGAGACTTTGACGCAGGCGGGAGTAGGATCAGCTTGTACCAGGTAACAAAATAGGGCAGAAGCGTTCGCGAAGTTCTAGATTCCCATTCAGTTTCCGGAAGCAAATAAGATTCATTTGCTTGGCTTCACTTTGAAGGCTAAGAATTCTAACAAATATGTTTTAAAAAAGAAGGCCGTAATCTCGACTGAGGTACTCAGTAAAAATGCCATTCGTTTTCCAAAATCCTAGTAGAGTCACTTAAAATTCTGGTCCATTTAATGAACATATAACTGGAGACAACAGGCAGTCTTCATAATAACTAGTAGCATTCCAGGCGTCCAGAGCTAGCCTGGTCGTGGGTGTCTAATTTCTTTCGCGTTGGTTCTGTAGAATCGATGATACCCTGATAGCATTCCAGGCTTGTCTTGCGACTGGCAGATACTGTCCGGGCAACAGTTCTTTTGCGTGACTGACTGCAGGAAATGTAGGCTAACAAGTTCATGAAACTCTCGGTCAGTTCCCTAGCATCGAGGGCATTTTAAACACACACATAAGCATCGATTGCGCGCGTAGAGCCTGGTCGGCGGCTAAGCCCCCAGCACATGTGCATCGGTTTCACCCCATATCTCGTCCCGTGGAGTTTGCGTTCGCAGGCATACATCGAGTGCGTTGTGCGTGGATGAAGTTGAGTGCTTTGTTAAGCCACTTTCGTCATAAGGCGAGGGATCCCCATTCAAAGTCAATTATGCTTGCTCACTCCGGCTGGAGGGCAGAGCCGTGAGACATTGAAGGATCTTAGAGGTGGGCGTCAGACCTAACGCGCAAAGTGCATGGAGTAAGCGTCGGGGAGGGGGTGTGGCATCAAGGATCATTGTCTCGCGAAGGCTATGCACCATTAGCCAATGGGATTGCTGGCCCTACAATAGTCCGCAAACCAAAGCGGCTAGCAGATGTCTAGCTCTATGCGCCGCAATGTCATCAAGGTATAGCGGTTAAGTGTGTACGCATATCTAGCGTACTCCGATGCTGTTTGTAACGGCCATTTTAATTGCAAAATAAAAAAATGACCGATAACAAATAAAAAATTACGTGTTTAAGGGATTTAGGTGGTCTATTTTCGTGCGTGCGAAAATCGTCGTTGCAACGACGATGGATTCGTGAGAGGTAAATACAACAAATAGGCAGCCTCACCCACAATTGACTGAAGGATAATAATCGGCTCATTTGACAGCTTGCAAAATAAAGTTTCCACCCCAGCTGCATTCTGGAGTATAAGCACTAGTCCACCAAGGCTGCACGTTATATTGAGAATTGAAAGAAGTTGAACAGTAAGAAACCACCCTAAACGTCAAAACCTTCAAAAAACCATACTTGGGACAAGCCAGAATCTTATGTATTTAAACTCATCACGATAGATATACCAGCAGCCGCTGTAAGCTTTTGAGATATAGTCTTCCGCGAATATGAAATTATTGAAACAGGCTTCCCATAATCCAAGCCTCTGAAAGCCACTGTTAGTACCCTGTCTTGCCACAATCCAAAATGGAGAAATGAATCCGATTGTATTGAAAATATTTGCTAATATGGTTAACAGAATGGCGATGAGGAAAGAGAGCCGATATAGCAGCCGAATTTTAGCACACATTTCCGGGATTACAAAAAGTCGTACAACGCGAATCAAATTATAATGATGCGAAATAACAAAAATTTAGGTCGAGCAAATTACTCGAGACGGGAAGTTTTCCAGACAAATGATTTATTTTTTTGACAAGATCTCCTAGCGTTTATAGCCCAAACGACGCGTTTGAGAACGTGGAAGAGTAACAGAAAGGAGAGCTCGTATGCTTAGTGAAGTCATGGAAATAGTTTGAGGTGACAACTCACATGTGGCAGGTATACCAAAAGACCGAGAAGATACAGAACTATGAAACCCGGAAGTAATTATTTATGACTATTCCATTTGACTGTCGGTTCCTTACTTTGATTCATACTCTTCCCGACATCTGTCGTGGAATGAGAGTTACAGAATCCCAAAGAATCAACGTCGTCGGGTCCGGACAATATACCGGTCACGTTCTTGAGCGGATTGGCGTACGAACCCTCCAGACACCTTGCGCATTTCTTCCGTACATCATCTGAATCGAGAAGGCTGCTATCTGAGTGAAAGGCAGCAAATACCTATCCGATATACAAGGGTGGGGTTCAGATTAGTGCTTACAATTATCGGCCCATCGGCCTCACCTGCCGTTAACTAATGAAAACTATATTTAAGAAAGCAACAACGAAGTTCCTGGGGGAGAACCTCTTACTCTCAAGGCTCCAGCATGGCTTCAGACAGAACCTCTCAAGCCTTTCCAGGTTATTGTCCTCGACCGAGCAGTGGACTCGCGCACTGGCTGAGGATGGTAGTGAGGATGGTAGTCATCTACACGGACTTCAAAAAGGAGTGTGGCAGCGTTTCACGTAAACGCCCGATCTACAAACTGTCTAAAATTGGAATAAGAGGAAAGCTGCTGACATGGATCGCAGATTTTCTCACAGGAAGACCAAAAACCATGTGCGTTGATGCCTCAAAGTAACCCCTAACTCAATTCTAAGTGGTGTCCCCAGGGCTCAGTCTTAGGGTCATTACTATTACTAGTTTACATTAACGACTGCGCTGATGACCTAGGATGCAACGCCGTCATGTTTTCTGACGATGCTAAGCTGTGGAGAGCCATCAGATCTGACGTAGATAGGCGCGCGCTCCAAGAGGACCTCAACCGGCTGAACAGTTTGCCAGCTCGTGGACTCCTAAATTTTAACGTGGACAAGTGTGTGGTCCTGAGACTCCGCACTAGAAGGACCAGTGAAGAGGATGATTCCTTCCGATATCTCATTGATTGGCAGCCCCTTCCAAGTGTTATGGAACAGAAAGATCTCAGCGTCCTAAGGACCTCCTCCCCCAAACTATCGCCACATTGTTAAAGGGCAGTCAAGCGTGCGATAAAGTGTTATTTGCGCAGAGGCAAAGATTTGTGCAGATCGGTAACGGGCTGTTCGGAAAAACCTACGGAGCATTCTTTCGGTCTCACTTAGAGTATGCCGTCCAAGCCTGGCGTCCGTGATCTAAGGGAGATTGTAGACAGCTGAAAAGAGTGCAGGCGATGGTTACGAAGATGGTCAAGAATCTTGATCATCTGCCTTCAGAAACCAGACCGGCTGAACTAAATTTGTTCCCTCTCAATTATAGGCGACTGCGTGGCGAGCTCATTCAAACCTACCGGATTGTCAGGGACCGTGAGTGTGCCCTAGACTTTGACGACTTCTAATTGGCTGCTACGGACCACCTGCGTGGTCATCCCTCTAAACTGCAGAGGAAGCTGGTCCATACAGGCGTCCGACGGAACACCTTCTCACAGGGGGTCTTTGGGGGATGGAATGCACTCCCTGACGCGCTGGTTCTATCCGAAGCTGTTGAATCCTTTAAATGAAGACTAGCTGGTCAGTTGCTGAGAAACTACTGTACATATAACCACGATTGTGTCAATGACGGCAGTTTGCGGCTGGCTCGCACAAACCGATGACCTTTGAGTTTTCAGAATTACTGTTGTTACGATTGATTCTTTTGCCGTTTTGGATATGAATAGGAAGCTCAAGGGATAAACTCTCATTCCCTTGATAAATTGACTTTAACTGACTATTCTGAGTAGACACAACCTCACCAGCTTCAAAAGACATTTCCCAGTGCACGCATTTTAATGATTTCCTTATCTAGATAGCCATGCGTCACATTTCGCTTGAATATAAGTGTACTTATTCGGGCGAGCAATCCCCTGACGATTTGGAATTAATAAACTAAACAGGAAGTTATAATTTTTAGGGATTTAAATATTCCGCGTATTTCTTGATGTACTTTGTACACAAGTGATAGTAAAGTCGCTTAACATCTATCGGAAAGGAACTACGCAAGCAGAGCCTTGAGTGTTTCCACACATGTCCGCTCGATTCACTCTTCATTCTGTCTGAAATAGGTGTTCTTGGCAGTAGACAGGCGAGTAGTTATTATGGCAGTCTGTTCTCCGCTAAGTGGAGACCACTATGGCGCATAACCATGTAGCATTTTGGTTGACCTTTACAAGTCTCCCCAACCTTGCAAGTTTACGAGGTTCTACGGACGCTTAAACACGAACGCAGAGGCCCCCAAAGTGAATTTACTTATTCGAAATTTCTTCAAAAAATCTGAGAGAAGAAGGTGCGTGGAAACAAACACCAGGTTTTTGTCGTTAATCGACTTTTCTTTTGTCTCTTTCATAGCCTGGAGATTTCTAAAATCATACTGCACCGGACAACCACCATGTAGCTGCTCAGTCATCCAAAAATCCAATTTTCCTATGGTCTAGTGTGGGCCATTTTTGCGCTCAACACGCCAACAGCTAACTAGTGTTTCCTTGCAGTTTCTGCGCGTAGTCAGCACAGCTTATTGTTTTCTAGGCTGTAATATCACCCACAAACATGATGTCAAAAATCAGTCAAAATCTTCAGTACAATCATTTATATAGACGATAAAGAGAGGAGGACCCAGGACCGAACCCTGTGAGCACCGCCCTCGACTAGTGCCAGCTTCTGCTCTTTGTGGCTAGCACGATAAGAAACCTATAATGTACTTAAAGTGTTGCCCTGGATTCCATACCGCCAAATCTTTTGTAGGAGTCGACGATGAGTCACACTATTAAACGTCTTTTTGAAGTCTAAGAAAATGGCTTCCACTGGACGGCTCTGGTCTGTCTTTTGTTCATTTTTCCTAAGAGCAGAGATTACTCGTGAGACATGAGTGTCCATGACGGAATCCGTGATGGCAGCACATGTTATGTCCCTCTGCTCCAGATGCGTTAATAAATGCCCCTTAATAATTCATATGATGGCCTTGCAGCAAATAAGGGTCCGACTAATTTTACGGGTAATTTTCGGACTCCAAACTGGACTCTATTTTGTAGATTTGGGACATTAAGCCAGGTTTCAATTTCTCCGGCCTTTCGCCTCCTCCCATAGACTTGTAGAATATCATGGGTACCGGATCGCACAGTAGCTCGGCCAATTCTCAAAGAGCCATTGGATGGAATCTACCTGGACCAAATGATTTGACAGACTCTAACCTGGGTATTTCTGTCCCTATCAATGTGGGCGAGAAGTAAATATTATCTACTTATACAAACGATGCATAATTTTGTTGTCGTTTTAAGTATGCGAAATGGGCGATTTCGTCTCATGAGTGAATACCGACCGAAAGAAGCTAGAGATGACTGATATTCCCGTTTGGTCATCTGTCGCCAGTACTTAACTTAGAGACCGAAATGCTGGTGTCGAGTCACGATTTGATTTGCCCTTACGCATGTAACCGTATAGGACATTTGGGTGCTCCAAATAGTTCTGCCATATACATAGCTCATAATTCTGCCAAAGTGTATTGGCCTCACGTTTGTTCACATTCCACTATCGCCTGTTTTCCTATAAGTGTCCGAAACTCCACCTTTGTCGAAAACGCCTCCCCATCTTGTTCATTCTTTTAAACTCAATTTGAAGTTTCTGGTTTGTCTGCGACAGATGACCGCTGGTTTTTTCAGTCTGAGTGGACAATTTATATCAATGATTTTTTAGCCAGCGAACTGAACGTACTCCCTCTTATGTGGTTGTTGATGATATTGCTGGGACTTACGTTCACATGCTGGAAAAGTCTCCCTTCTAGATATTTATTTTCAATTTTTAGGTGATTCGGGCTGGGAGAACAAGGATTATCCGAAGAACATTCAAATGTGAACACTAGCACCCACTGATGGGAGGTCTTGTTCGTCCAACACATTTCTCATTTCGGGTGAGCACCAGGTCAAGGCAATTCGAACGATGCCCTACCCTAAGAGGTGTTCCAGGAGTTACATTCTAGAAAAGCAGTTTTCCGCTGCCATTTCTGGCAAATAATGACAGAATGTATCCAGTGGATCCAAAACAGCCCAAGCTTGCCAGTAGATATTGGGATCATTGGTGTTTCCCGAAAGAAGGACGTTCTCGTTCATGCAGGTCTTGTTCAGTTCCGTTAAGAGAAGGCCATGGCGTTCGACAGCCTTGTTTTGGGGGACGATTGCAATTGCGATTGCCAGTGGTCGGACGTATTTGGTGGAGACGGTTAAGGGCAAAAATTCGCCTTTCAGTGTTGTAGAACGCTACTCAGAGATTGTGGTTAAATTGAAGCTAAAATAGACGTAGAATTCTCTTCCTTGGTTTTGCCTGTCTTTTCTAGACCGTTGATAGCCGCTGAGGGGTATCTCATGCACTCCAAGAGCTGCAGAAAGACATTGTTTGGTCAAGACGATGAAAGCTGGTGCGTGCTCGCCTACCGATGCCCTGAGTTCACCCATTTTATTAAACAGGCTCTGTAAGTAAAGTACATCACTTATAGTGTCCGCCTTCTTGGTGGGGACCAGTCCTAATTTCAAAAGGCCTTGGCCACTGGAGCGATCGTTCGACTTGTACTACCTTACTTTCCTTCATTTTCAACCATTTCCCCTCTTCTTCTGCCTTCCCTTCAGTCCTACCCAAAGCTCCCTTGTGTTGTGTCTTTCTATCGGTTAGTAATTCAGCTGAAAAAACACCTCCATATGCCAATTACGGAGTACCGTTCCCCCTTATAGGAGATATGAAGCCTAGATTACCTTTTTACGAATTATTTTAAGGAGCCTTGGGAATGACAGCCCATGCGATGCATCTTTGTTTCCTAGAAGGATAGCTTTGTGCACATTAGCATCTTCACAATCTTGAAGGATGCACGGCACATAGTTTATTTTCGGGCTGCCTTGCATTCCATATAGAATTAAGGCATTCATCAGAAAAGCTTCCTCAAATTTTGGGTTCTGAATCCACAGATTAACTCTACCGTAGCGATGGCGTTTGTGGTCTCTGAACACTATGGCCGGTCTCACCAGCTATTCCTCAACGCCTCTACTTTGACCATCCCCAACTTTATGAAAGGAATTGACGGCCGATGATCTCCGATACCGTGCAAACCCCTCCCCCCCCCTTCTTGACGGTCGAATGTATGCCGCCAGCAGTTTTTTTCTCCTGAACCCTTCAAACCATAAAAAACATCATCAACTATATTTTTATTCTTCAGGAGTTTTTTTTTCACTGCTGGTCGGATTTGTGTTTAATCGCTTCCCTTGACAATGCCTGTAAACTGTCATTTAAGAAATTATATTAAATTAAATCAAAAATTGTACCCACAGGCCCAGTGACTGTCTCCTCGTCTATCACATTTCTCAATTAAATTAGAACCTGCTCTCATATAGCCATTTTGGCTCTTGATTTTACCACGGCCTAAAGAGTTTGCGGAAGTGCCAACGGAGATTCACGGTGCGCATAAGCTTGAAAACTGTGCATGGCTTGCATCATCATCATCATCATCATCATCATCATCATCATCATCATCATCATCATCATCATCATCATCATCATCATCATCATCATCATCATCATCATCATCATCATCATCATCATCATCATCATCATCATCATCATCATCATCATCATCATCATCATCATCATCAACATCATCATCGTCGTCGTCGTCGTCGTCATCATCATTTGCGCGAAGCATCGCACCAGCTTCCACATGGTTCCGCACCCGACTTTCTCTGGACGACTTCTCAGACGAGATTCCATCCAAGCTTCTGAATGAACTTGCCAGTGAGCTCTCTGTGCCTTTGTCGATGCTCTTTCAAACGTCATTTGACACTGGAACACTTCCTATCGATTGGAAGCTGGTGCATATTACTCCGCTACACAAAGGAGGTAACAGGGCAGCGACGACAAATTACCGGCCCATAAGCTTGACATGCATTCTCTGCAAAGTTATGGAAAGGATCATAAAGACTGAACTGATGCAATTCCTGGAAGTTCACGGCCTGCTATCGAAATGCCAACATGGGTTCCGAGCAGGAAGATCCTGCACGACAAACCTGCTGCAATCTCTGCAGAGCTGGACCCGAGCTCTCGACGACAGGCACGCGGTCCACATAGCCTTCATCGACTTCCAGAAGGCTTTCGACACTGTGCCACACCAAAGACTCTTACATAAGCTGAAACAAATAGAGATCGGTGGCAACTTCCTTAAATGGATCGAAAACTTCCTTGTGGGTCGACACCAGGTTGTGTGCGTCGGTCGGAGAAAATCAGATCCGGCTATGGTCGATAGTGGTGTCCCCCAGGGTTCAGTTCTGGGACCCATTTTGTTCCTTATCTACGTGGACGATGCCGCAAGAGATTTGGACTGTGAAGTAGCAATGTTTGCGGACGACATGAAGATATGGAGTGTAATTCGTGGTCCTGCCGATGAACCTGAATCGGTTGGAGGAGTGGTCAAACCGTTGGCTCCTGCGGTTCAACGTTGCCAAATGTAGCATACTTCGCCTAGGCAACACAGCCAGATCCGCCAGCACAAGAGGCTACTTTCTGGGCGATGCAGCCCTACAAGAGGTCGAAGCCCAAAGGGACCTCGGTGTGCTGACGACGAGTTCCCTAAAACCATCCGCCCACTGTTCGAGGGTGGCAAAAAGCGCAATGTCCGTACTGTACGCCATCAAGCGTGCGTTTATGGACTTTGACGAAGGAGCTTTCTCAAAGACATTCGGAACATTCGTCCGGCCGCATTTAGAGTACGGCATACAAGCTTGGAGGCCGTGGGCTGTTGTGGATCAAAACTGCCTCGAAAGAGTCCAGAGGAGAGCCACGAAGATGGTTAGGGGTCGAAACTCCTTTCCTTATGCAACCCGCCTAGTAAGTCTGAACCTCTTTCCTTTGAGTTACAGGCAACTTCGCGGAGATCTCTTGCAAGCCTTCCGCATTGTAAAGGGGTTGGATTGCAGCCTGGCCTTCGAGGACTTTTTTGAATTTGCTACCACGACCAACCTCCGAGGTCACCCGTTAAAACTGCGCACTCAGCAGGCACGGCTGGATGTGCGGAAGTTCTCCTTCGCGGTTCGGGTGGTCAAAGCATGGAATGAGCTTCCCGCAGATGTTGTGATGTCCCCATCTATACAAATTTTTAAGAAGAATCTGGACATATTTATGTTCCGAAATGACCAAGAGCTATGAGAAGTCGAGCTCACCCCTGTAACTCCTTCTCATTTTGTCCCACCAGTATGGGCGTTTTCGAACTATTTCAGCCCAGAACATCTATCTGTACACCACACATTTTTTACGTTGCAAATAGGGTACTCAAAGGCTTACGCCTATTTCCCTCAATAAACTGAACTGAACTGAACTGAACTAACCGTATTGAGCCTTTCTAGACAAGCTGTATAACATAGGTTCAGAGGTGAGCAGACAGTTTTCATATCTTGGCACTGGGCCTTCTTTTTGGACATGAGTGGCGGTAGCAGTGACAGTCCCCTCAGGGAGCTTCACGACAAAACTATTACTATCATGCCGTATTACGTAGGAATTTCTTGCAAAACGTCTGGGAAGAGGGAATTTAGGCAAGCATTTTTAAATGAATAAAGAGCGTTATATCGCCCGGACTGCAAAACTTTATTGTTAATCACTCGGCATCTGAATGAGTGCTAGTAAAGAGTAATATTCCACAAAGTTCCACGTTGGGTCCCTTAATACTTCCGTTATATACGAGGGACTGCACCAAGAATTTCTACTGTGAAGCCGCAGGGTTCACTGAGGACACTGTCACGGCTTTGTTAGGGGGCTCACCTCAAGCACAACGGTAATCAGGGCACAGTTACGCTTTAGAAGAGAAGGAAAAAACACTACTGACGGCCGTTTATTTAAAACAAAAATCTGGTGGCCGAAGCCTTTGACATGTGTCTGGCTCTGGGCCGATGCGCATGGCTCTTCGCTAGGGTGGTTTGATGACATATAATTACATGATAGACGTGGTAAGCGAAATGTCCCCTAACCGTTGGTTTATCCACTTACGCAATCCAACGTTTGAAAGCAATTCTAATATATTTCCAAAAGCAAGAAAATCAGAAAATCAATTTTAATAGAAAATTTGGAAGCACACGAGAATCGCGCCCTCTAGATGGCTGCTAGTTTGACGTAAATGCTTTGCACACAAGCGTTCCAGATAACTATTGGCACCTTGAATTTTTTGAATTCTTCATCCTGCTGTTTTTTCAATTCATCAGACCTCACCATGAATGCGAAATTTTAATTTGAGTTCTCAGGTTAAAGAAGAATGTTGATTTCATTAAGCAAGGGCGATTACGGGATGGCCAATAAGGTTGATATTCGTTGCAGTATTTCATATCCTAGACTAATTGTTGAACCTGACCTATTTGTCGTCTTCTATAGATGGCTAAGATGCGACGTGCTGTAGACAGTCCGTACTCAATCATTTCCAAACGCGACCTCATGCGGCTAGGTCAAAGGAGACTCTCGTTTAGCAAGCAGATTATTCGGGCACGAAATTCATTCTCACACAGCATGCTGACCGCTAGTACTACAACCCTGTCTAAAAGGCCATTGGGTTTTGACTTACTGTACATCTTATTTTCTCTAATGTGATTACCTGTAGCCATCTCCGAAGTGCATATTCTAAGTTGTATTTGTTCATATTTTTCTTAATTCATTTCAGTTTATTAATGAAAACAGACTTAAGCCATTGAGTACCTATTTGCAACACGAAGCTGGGTGTAGTATGCAGCGAAACGAAAGGAGTTTGAATGGTCTAAAGGGGACCATAAAAGTGTGAAAATTTGGGCGTGAGCCTCAAAGGCTGAGTAAAATCTTTCATCGCTTCAAGGCATTTTGGGGCATTAACCTCCTAAGGCTCCTTTTGAAGCTTTCTAGCAATATCGACGTCACAACATCCGCAGGTACAGCATTCCATACTTTGCCCGCCCAGACGCAGCAGTAGAACTTCCGCAAATACAGCCTTTCCTGCTGAACGCGCAGTTTGAATTGTCGACCTCGGAGGTTGGTCATGATAGCAAAGTCAAAAGTTTGTCAAAGTCCAAATCTCCAACCAATCTCACAAGACGGATGGCTTGTAAGTGATTCCCTGCGTTCTTCTATAATTCAAAGGAAAGAGATTTATGTCGGTTGCATCAGGCAAGGAGCTGTGACACCTAGCCATTTTAATGGCCATCCACTGAATTCCCTCGGGACTGTATTGATCTTGGACTTCCCACGGTCTCCGGGCTCGCGTGACTTACTCCACACGCAACCTTGGAAATGTTCTGAAGAAATTGGGAGAGAGGCCTTTGTAAAAATCGGTAAAGGTTCTCGCGATGGCGTCCAACGAGGACATTTCTCTTTTCGCCACCCTTGAGGAATGGGCAGACGCTTTTAAGGAGTTCTTCATTAACATACCGAGGTCCTTTGGGGCCTCCGCGTCCTGTGAAATAGCACTATCGCGAAAGATGTGTTTTGTGCTGGCAGATCTGGCAGGTCAGTTTAGGTAAATAGTGACAAACTTACCGGTGCAGGACAGCGGAAACCAGCGATTCGACCGCTTCTCCAGTCTGTTTAGATTGCTATGCAGTTCGTATTTGACGGACATGATCCGGATTACACTCGTAATTTCAATGTCGTCGGCAAAACTTTTCAACCTCGTAATCGAAGTATATTGCGCAATTCGCCATGTGTATAAGGTAAAATGGATTCTAGTACTGAACACCGAGTAGTACCACTCTCGACCGCAGCAGGATTTGATTTCTCATGACCGATGGAAATAACTTGGTGCCGAACCACAAGGAAGTTTTCGATCCATACGAGAAAGTTGCCACTGGTCCCCATTCTTCTCAGTTTGTATAACAGTCTCTGGTGTAACACAGTATCGAAGGCATTTCAAAAGTCAATAAAGGTTATGTGAACAGCGGGTCCATCCTCGTGATCTGGAGAGATTGCGACAAGATTTGACGTGCAGGATCTTCCTTTGCAGAGCCCATATTGGCAGTTCTATAGCAAGTTGTAAGCTTCTAGGAACTGCACCAATTCGCTCGTCATGTTCATCTCTATAAATTTGCTCAGGATGCACTTCAAGCCTATGGTTATGTAGTTTGTCGTCGACGTCTGGTTACAGCTCTTTTGTAGGGGAGTTATGTGTGCCAGTTTCAAATCAACTGGACGTGTTCTGATATCATATGAGAAGCCTGGGTGGAAGCTCGCCTGGTTCGGCAGATTTCGATTCTTTTAATGCCTCCAATCCTCTTCGGATAAGATTTGAAAATGGATATTTTTTTATCGGTGGAGTCGGCAGATTCTCTGTGGAGGGAAGAGGGAGCTTTACATCGTTTGTGCATACGGATTGGGAAATCTGTGAAAAATATTCGGCTTTATTTTTGCTTTCAACAGTTTCCCCGCACCGGTAGCCTTTATTAAGGGGATTTGATGCGTATTCCTTGTAATTCTTCCGAGGCAGCTGTAAAGTAATTCGGGATCCTGCGTCACATTTGTGGCAAATTCTTCTCGAATTTCCGACGCATTTTAATAGTCATGCTTCTGCGCTGCATCACACAATACAAATTAACTAAATTCGAACAATATGCAACCGCCTGCGTTTTCTACTGCCTGTGTATAAGTGTACAAACCGCAACTGTACCTTAGTAGTGTCAGCAAGGACCATTCCCACTACCCTCAAATGCAAAAATATTATTGCTGTATTCGCCATCGGAGACGTGTTCTCTGTGCGGACTGAGTCATTTACAACTTCCATGTTAGAATTTGAGAGAACGATGACACGAAAACCAGCGTCAGAAAGTTGAAAAAGTAAATAAATGGGGATCTTCCAAATTTCCTTTTCATGCTATGCACAATGACAGATATTTCAAATAGTGACATTTGCAAAAAGCTCAAAGGGTGTGAGACTTCTCCAAATGATTTCAGTTTGAGTTTAATGTACAAGATAGACCGGGGTGTATAGTGAATTAGACATCCTTATTGGTGGAGTACTTTGTAGTGGAAACGTGGACTTAAAAACTACAAACAGTAATATATGCAGGAAAAGCTGACTCTAAATGGGGGGGGGGATTGTGTTTACCAACAAAAAGAAAGAATGTACAGATTCGAAAAATCAGAAAAAGGAATGTTCCAGACTAACGCAAAGTAGAATCCTATCAAGTAGCGACATATTATTCCGATGAGGAATCGGTTGAATAGAGGCAGTCGGTTCCGCGATGATATGGTGAAGTAGGCTTGTGAGGAGGGAGTCTCCGTTAGTTCATACAAATTGCTAAAAATGTTGAGAGGTTACAAGCGAAGGCCAAGAAATAACGACGTCAAGCACACTCGAAACCAGAACACAAAAGTCACGCTTTTTCACAAGTCGAAACCAAGTGTGTGTATTTTTTGTTAATTTAAACAATAGTACAGAAATGATGAGGTGTACAAGAAAGTTTAGAGTGAAAAATCGAAAATGTGAGTAAACCTACACAACTCCCCCAACAGAGCGTTTGTTGTACAAAAAAAAAACGCTCGATAAAAAAATGCAAAAAGTTACACCAAAAAGTCTTTGAGTTTGGCAGGAAAGTGGATATGTCTACCAGAACGAGATGAGGTGCGTGGTGGAGTAGAGGAAGAATCAGTATGGGTGGGTGGGGTGGTCGAGTGTGGTGGTTGAGTCGATGGGACCGAAACGGGTGGATCGGGTGAGGACGGTACAGAGGAAGTCAGTGGCACAACTGACGGCGGGATGCACTCAACATAGGCTGGCTTAAGTCTGTCGATGGAGACTGTGTCAGTTTTGTCAGCCTTCTGAATGACGTAATACTTGTCCATCCGCTGAAGAACCTTATACGGGCCATCATATGGGGAACAAAGAGACTTGCGAACCGCTTCATGCCTGACGAAAACAAAGGGGGCAGATTTAAGGTCCTCGTGTACAAACACATGTTTCGATGTCAGACGAGTGGGGGTTGGACGCAGTTGAGCCATGCGTTGTTTCAGCTGCTGTACGAAGGTGCTCGGGATGTTAGGGTTTGTCGTGGAAGGCTGCACAAATTCGCTGGGCAGACGGAAGGGTGTACCGTAGACAAGTTCGGCGGCAGTGCATTGGATGCCCTCCTTGACAGTAGATCGGATGCCCAAAAGCGCAAGAGGGAGGGTGTCACTCCAAGAAGCTGATTTTGTTCGGGACATCAGTACGGACTTCAGTTGACAGTGTAGACGCTCCACGAGGCCGTTAGAGGCAGGGTGATATGCCGTGGTTGTGATGTGCGCACACCCGAGCAGTTTAGGGAACTCACTGAAGAGGCTAGATTGGAATTGACTCCCGCGGTCAGTAGTAAGGGTGGCTGGAACACCAAAAGTTGAAATCCAGTGCGTCAGAAAAACCATGGCGATATTTTCTGCCGAGGTATCCGAGATGGAAACGGCAATCGACCATCGTGTGAAACGGTAAACCGCTGTCAGAATATGCGTGTACCCGCGTGAAAGGGGTAGCGGATCAACTAAATCTAAGTGGACGTGGTGGAATCGAACATCTGGAACGGCAAAGGTACTTGGTGGAGAAAATGTGTGACGGTGTACTTTATTCTTCTGGCAGACTAAACACCGTTTAGTCCAAAGAGCGATGTCAGAGTTCATCTTCGGCCAAACGAAACGAGCAGCAATTAACTTACGTCCGGCGCGAATGCCAGGGTAAGAGAGGGAGTTAAAGTGGTCAAAGACAACCTTACGATAGGATGGTGGAACGACGGGACGGGGGGTGCCTGTGGACCAATCGCACAAAATCGTACCTGGTGACGCAGGAAGTGGTGCATCTCGAAGCTGCAGAGTAGTAGACGTACGTAAGTCCGCGATGGACTCGTCTGCCGTTTGGAGGTCTGCAAGCTTCGGCAGGTCGAAATCGGGTGTGAGTGTGTTGATGTCCGCACGGGATAATGCATCAGCAACGACATTGTCGCTGCCTCGGACGTAGCGGATATCTGCAGTGAACTGCGATATATAGTCCAGGTGACGAACTTCCCTGGGCGAGTACAGATCTGGCTTGGCCTTGAGGGCGTAAGTGAGAGGTTTGTGGTCGGTGTGGACCGAAAAGTCTCTGCCCTCTAAGAGGTGTCGAAAATGACGAATGACGAGGTAGATGACTAGGAGTTCGCGAGAGAAAGTACTGTAGCGAGTCTGCGCCGGTTGTAGCATCTGTGAAAAGAAAGCTTAAGGCTGCAACTGGTTATTCACCTGTTAATGTAGGACTGCGCTAACAGCACTATTGGAAGCGTCAGTGGTCAAGATCAGCTGTGTGTGGGGATCAGAGCTGAGATGGTGAAACAAAGTGGCATCAGCAAGAGCTTCCTTAGCTGCCTCAAAGGCTGAGTGAGCTGCTGGAGGAAGTTCGATGGGCTTTGCTTTAGACTTAAGAAGGTCAGTTGAGGGAGCTAGGGTCGCCACACAGTGAGGGATAAAACGTCGGTAATAGTTGAGAAGACCTATAAAACGCCGCAGCTGAGTTGGAGTCTTGGGGACAGGGAATGACAGGATGCTTTACACCTCTAGCAGCGGTGTGATTCCATGCTGGTCGACGTGGTGACCAAGGAAATCTAGAGAAGAGACGCCAAAGATACATTTTTCGACGTTTAATTGCAGACCATGTTGCTGGAAACGATCGAATATGAGGCGTAAATGCGAGGCATGTTCCTCTGCTGAAGAGCTTGCGACGAGTATGCCATCGATGTAGGCATAAGCGAATGGAAGGCCCCGCAAGATCTCATCGATAAAACGCTGAAACGACTGGGTAGCATTGCGCAAACCAAAAGGCATGCGAATAAATTCGAACAGCCCAAAGGGTGTCGTGATAGCGGTCTTTGGGGTATCTTCCTCAGCGACCGGGATTTGGTGGTACGCCCTGTCGAGGTCTATCTTGGAAAAAATAGTTTTACCGGCTAACATGTGGGAAAAGTCATGAATGTGGGGAATGGGGTACCGGTCAGGAATTGTGGACCTGTTTAGGGCTCGATAATCACCGCACGGTCTCCAATCGTCAGTGGACTTCTTTGGCACCATGTGCAGTGGTGAGGCCCATGGGCTAGATGATGGGCGTATAATGCCCAGATTCATCATATGTTCAAATTCGTTCTTTGCTATTCGGAGCTTGTCAGGGTGGAGTCTACGCGGACGAGCGTGCACTGGTTGCCCTGCCGTGACAATGTGGCGTTGCACTCCGTGTTGAACGGTTTCGGTAAAACGACATGCTTTAGTGATGGACGGGTAGTCCTTCAAAATGTCAGCGAAAGGCGTGTTGGAGATGGTGAGATGAATGCTAACCGAACGTTCAGAGCTAATGATACTTATAGAAAAGAGTTTGGTGGTGGTGTCTGTGAGGCGACGGTGTCTGACATCGACTGTTAAGCCGAAAGATGACAAAAAGTCGGCCCCGATAATGGGCGATTTTACGTCAGCCTCAATAAAGACGCATTGAAAACGTCGACGGAGACCAAGATCTAAAGTGAGGGACCGTTGGCCGTAGGTGCTGATTGTGGTGCTATTTGCAGCCTGCAATGAGAATTGCGAAGGCTTGAGGCGGTGATGCCTTAGAGGCGGGATGACACTGACCTCGGCACCGGTATCAACCAGGAAACGAAGGCCGCTCGACTTGTCGTTGATATAGAAAAGGCTACTGGGTCGCGACGGGCCAGCATCAGTCGTCGCCATTACTGGCTGGCGTGGTCGTTTAACTGTGGAGGACAAGCGAGCGAACGAACAAGGAGGTATGCACTTTCGGGCTTTCGGGCCATAAGGGCGATGATACCAACATAAGGGTTGTGAACACCGCTCACGGGATTTAGACCGACGATGTGAGTATGGCTGTTTTCTAGCCGCTTGAAGACTGTTAAGCGCAGAGCACATGTTGCTCACCTGAGTGCAAAGGAGGCGCACCGTGTCTCTTAGGTCGTCGTAGTCGGTGCGATAAGCGCCTGTGGGTGTCCTGGGAGGACCGGCTGACGTGGGCGCTCGTCGGGTTGTGCAACAGCATGACGCTTTTTCCGTATAGGGAGTGTCGTGCTCTGATAATGGTGGGCCTTCTGAATCAGAGTCAATGCCCTGATGGGGCTTGCCTTTGGAAGGCCGTGGCTGTTGAATAGTGGAACACGAGGCACCAATGGGGTAACACTCTTTGATTCTGTCAGCGTGGGCAGCTAGTTTCTCTAAAGGTGTTTTCGAGTCCAACATAGCCAAAACCTGTTGCATAGGCACCAAACCGAATCTCGCGAAAAATGGCGTCGTCCATGTGCCTACCAGTGAGAAGTGAGCGCATGTGACGCATGAGCTGGGAAGGTGTCTGATCACCTAGCTCTACCTGCGTGAAAAGTTCCCGCAGCATAAGGTTGGCCGATTAAGCTACCCGTTGGATTACCGCTTCCTTCAGCAGTGTATACGGTTTGTCGGCTGGAATGGGGTCAAGGAGGTCTTCGACGGTGACAGCTACATCAAATGGGAGGGACTGCAAAACGTATGAATAGCGGGTACGCTCGCTAGTAATGCGGCTTGTCACAAAAAGAGCCTCGATCTGCCTGAACCAAACGCGAGGATTGCTCGGGGTAAACGGTGGCAGTTTAAAAGAAAGGGTGTTAATGTCGAGTGAGTCTTTTTGGGAGTCGTCACTGGCCATGGTAAATAAAAAAAAAGGTTCGGCATGCAGGAGAAAGCGGGGTCACCAATTTTGTAGTGGAAACGTGGACTTAAAAACTACAAACAGTAATATATGCAGGAAAAGCTGACTCTAAATGGGGGGGGGGGGATTGTGTTTACCAACAAAAAGAAAGAATGTACAGATTCGAAAAATCAGAAAAAGGAATGTTCCAGACTAACGCAAAGTAGAATCCTATCAAGTAGCGACATATTATTCCGATGAGGAATCGGTTGAATAGAGGCAGTCGGTTCTGCGATGATATGGTGAAGTAGGCTTGTGAGGAGGGAGTCTCCGTTAGTTCATACAAATTGCTAAAAATGTTGAGAGGTTACAAGCGAAGGCCAAGAAATAACGACGTCAAGCACACTCGAAACCAGAACACAAAAGTCACGCTTTTTCACAAGTCGAAACCAAGTGTGTGTATTTTTTGTTAATTTAAACAATAGTACAGAAATGATGAGGTGTACAAGAAAGTTTAGAGTGAAAAATCGAAAATGTGAGTAAACCTACAACTTTAAGTCTTAATCGTCTATTAAAAACTGAAATCAAGCCAAGTCAAAGCTTGTCTTCCGATGTAAAGTATTGCCCATGATATCATAGGTATTCTCGGTGGCTGTATCGTCTGTCCGTTCTCATTCTTTTACTTTCTAACTGTGATAAAGAGCTCTAAAATTGAGTGGTTTTGAGTCTTTTTTTATCATTCTTGAGCAATGATCCGCCCAGTCACTCCGGCGTTTGGAGGTTAATTAACGGAATGGTTAATCAAGAAGCTATATGATCACTAATGACAAGCTTATCGATGAATTAATAATAGGCTGAGGAAAATATGAAAGTCTTCAGGTCATGGTCGACCGGGAATGTTGCCCGGGTAACTGAGTCCGAGTCAGGTACGGACGAAAGAAAGGGAGGCAGTTACACAGTAAATACAGGATTCAGTTATATATCCCATTACCAAAAAATACAGAGTACAAGGCGTGTGTCTCCTGAATGTATATCTGTTTTTACTCCTGGCTTCAATAAAGCAGAAAAAGCAATCTCGATGTCTTTCACAATTACAAAGGTTTAAATTATAAACAAAATTTCAGAAGTTGTCAACCGCGTCAGGATGGCCGAGCGGTCCAAGGCGCTGCGTTCAGGTCGCAGTCCACTCTGTGGGCGTGGGTTCGAATCCCACTCCTGACAAACTTTTCTTGGCGTCAGTTTGTGGCAGTGTTCTCCTTCTGTATTTCCCAGACGTCGGTTGCCGACGGGCACTCTGTTCTTGTTCCCTTACTGGCTTCCCCGTTGAAACGCTTCCTTATACCAACTTAAAACAGCCTATCCTCACCTTACGCCTTGATAAGTAAGACTCTGGACGACACCCTGTACTACGCCTAACTCGTCACAAAAGGACGTCTCCGTGTCTGACGACGAACTGTAAGAGGATAAACCACCCGGTATGGATGAAAATTCGTCGACCGGCACCTTTCCGTCACATTTTCGGCAATTTGGCGTGACATACTAAAAAGGGGCACACAACAACAAAAGGGTCACGTCGAGGCGGATAGCATGCATGCGTGACATTTCAGGAACTGGCGTCCAAGAGTGCGCCAAAAAGCAAGTACGTCGCCCGATCGATTAGCCTATCAGCGTGCGCTCATTCGATCGTCGACGCGATCGCGTACGTGACTCTCTTGTGTTGGTTGAAATCTTGGTTATTTGTTGTGTGGACCAAGGGGTGTAGTGGAACGCCAAGGTGAGGATCCGTCCGAGCCATCCACCTGCGGCCTCTCTCGTCTCCGGTCTTCTTGACTCTGTCTTGACACCGGGCTCGGGCGAGGGAGGAGGAGAGAGTGTAGGTAGATGCTACGCAAGTCTACCGGCACTATAAACCCCTGCGTAAGTCACCGTCCATGCTCGCATTGCTGCTGCAACTGCGCGGCACACGGTGGACATCAGCGAAACCGATGGTCGAACTGTCACGTGACTTGAGTGCAAGGCGCACAGCCACCAGTCAATATTCGGTCCGAAACTTGTGGCCCGATTCTTTGTTACCAGCATGTCCCAACCTATTCCCAGATATGTATCTATGACTAATCACCTAACATTTCTGCCGGTTGCCGTAGGAGACGCCGTCAGCTTGTTTTTTAGACCGCCAATTTCCATTGTAATTGTGTACCCAGTTAGCGTACGGTAACTTGCACGGGCAGTTGGATAAACTGATATTGCTGAAAAGACCAAGAAGATTTGTTGGTATTGGCACTCAGAGTCACAGACTGCGGAGTAAATGGACGTTGTTAGAAGCATCATAAAGTGTTGCATAATGTCAGACGAAAGATTGCTGCAGATGCCCGCATGCAAGCATGTGCCAGTGACACTGTACAGTATTGTAGCAGTATTTTCACGGAAACTATATTTATCGGATTTAGTATCCACAGAGATGCAACTTCACCGCCCCATATGAACGTAAATAATAGATTTGTACAGTTAGATCTTAAACGAGCTGATTTCTGTCCCTCGAGGGACAGATCTTGACTGCAAATGACCCCATATTCACCTGAACCACCAGAATCGGACTTCAGATATCTGGGTACATGTTGACCAAAACGTTAAAATGACTTTGATGGAAGATATTGGGAAATAAATTAGTAAAATTGGACATCTGAAGAGGTTGTATTTTTTCGTGGCAGGTTAACCCATACGCAGACCCTAGCTACTACAACCTTCGTGCCTGGTGCCAAATAGGAAGAGAAGTTTGACGCCAGTAGGGAGAGCAGAAGTAACGGAGAATGGGTTAGTGTAGACTGGCAAATGGACGCGAGAGTAAGCGTCCGAGTGCCGCCGGGACAGGCGTCAGAGCGCCTTCGGTGAGGGCACGTCTGCGTCGGCCTTGGAGTTAATTGGCAGGTTAGGATAACTTTAATTAGCCAATAACCAGACTGCCACTGATACGCACAAGAAACGCAGTGTTGCAACAGGCTTCTGGACTAGGATCCCTATCACCTGCCTCAGTGACCTTTTCAGTGGAAAGTGGAAGCTCGTGTCCGAAATCTGATGACGGCATTAAAAACTGTTTCTTTTGCAGTGTTTATCATTTTCAAATCTTGAGTGACAAGGGACTTTGAACGTTTGACTCGTAACTTTGTCGGCCGAAAGAACTTATCGTTTTGTACTTCAAATTCGAATACTTTTCAATAACGAGCGAAAGGTTTGGGGTTATCACCTGCGACCGTGAGGTCGCAAAGCGAATACCACGTCGGATGGCTGTTGGGTTTCGAAGGCGAACCAATGTTAGGATAACACAATCTCACTCGACGTGCGAAAATGTAGTATCATATAACCGCCCTACCCACTTTAATTGAGTAGCATATATAAATAAGCCGATTATTTCATCCGAATGACACGAAGTGGTCTGCTTTTTTAATTTGGAAGTTGGTACGCATCTCACTCAGTCTGTTGAAGAATACTTCCTCGGTTACGATTTTTCAACCGAAGGGAACGTCTGTGTTCAGTCTACTCTGACCGCCTCTCGCTGCAAACAGAACAGGGACGACCTGCCTTCAAGTTTGATACGTAAGGAGTTCCAGTTGAGGCCGAATGAGGGTGATTTCTTCACCCTCAACACAACAAAAACCTGCGTAGGAACTCTCTAAAACTTAGAGGATCTCGATGCCGCCTAGAAGTTCGCAGATACTCTTTTTCACGGCGAGTCGTCGGTGCCGTGAACGTGATAATGGCGAACTCCACGGGGACATCCAGGCAAAGACCAGATGTATACCGCTTGTCTGGACAAAACAGCTCTGTTGTGCTAAACTAACGCCTTGCACACACCTACCTCTACTTCAACTAAGTGTTCTCGAGTTCCGGTCCTGCATTTTCAAAGAAACATATTCTGTTGAGTGTGTATATTACTGACAATATTTTAGTACCATGTTTATTTAAGGTTAGATATTGCATGTATCGTTTTCGATAGGGTCTTCAAAGACATTGCCTATTGCCCTTAAAAGATACTGATCTAGAAACATAGTTCTTGTGTGTAGAATCGATCAGTCAACCTGAACGCCGATCTCCCTCCGCCCTAGTAAGTCTTCCGAAATGTCTTTGCCGTGCGCAGGGCAAAGGGAGACTATCTGTGCTGTGTAGGTATTACCTAACGTATTTTAATTACATATGAGGGTAAAAAAGGCTATGCAAGCAGTGAGCAAAATTTCGTCTGTCTGAAAGTGGGATACAAGTCGTGTTGGCGCAGTTACGCCGAAATAAAGAACCCTTTAGAAAATAAGACTCAATACACAACATTTTTACGGTTTTGGAACGTTTTTGTGCTTACGCTTGTCAGCGCAACGAGGCAAATCTACAAAAGTTTGTTTTGGACACAGTCAGCCTCCAGTCTGGTAACAAACAACTTGGGCCTCGGGAGCCTGCTTTTTCGTAGAGTCTGCTGCAATAATTCTAACTGCAAAGAAATTGTCCAGTAAAACGGAATGCGAACAAAGAGAGTACAAAACAAAAGAAATTGGGGCTAGATCGCAGTTGGTAGCCAGGCCCCGTATTACAGGTGGCTGGGGAGGGGGTTGTT